CGGGCCCCCGCGCGGGGCCCTTGCGCCAGTAGCCGCGTTGCAGCTGGGCTTTGGCTCACCCCGGCTCTTTCCCGAGCTGTCGCAGGGGTCCTGGGTCCCCGGCAGCCTGACAGCGGGCTGGCACGTCCTGCCACGTCCGCACTAGGTGTCCTGCAAGAGAGCTGGGACGTCAAGGGCTGCAGTGAGGATCCCCGACAGCCTCCCTGCCTTTGGGCTCCCCGGAGCCTCTCCTGCAGCTCCGGGATGCTCAGAGCTGAGGTCTGATGGTATTTTTTCAGTCTCCCTTTCCCCGCGATGTTCCCACGAGGCCTCCAAAGGAAGCTTCTTTTTGAAACGGGCTCTTCACTGGACACAGAGGCAGGAAATGGGGGGGTGGAGGGGTTTCTTTTTCCCTTATTTCGGTGGAGTTCCCTTTTTTAAAGCGGAGAAGCAGCGCGTGCCGGCCGCGCAGCACGGTGCGGGGAGGGGGTTGTGGGGAAAGAAGTGCTGATAGAAGTGCTGATGGTTTCGCTGGGCTCCTGAAGCCCAAGGGAGAGGCAGGATCGGGCTGAATGCCGCCTGCCCTCAGACCCCTCGGGAAGCCTTGGGCCTTCCCACCTTTCACTGCTGCCTCGAGTATTACCTCTTTCCTCTCCTCAAAGAGTGGGGCAGAGACCTGGGTAACCCCTTCCTGTGTCAAATGATCCTGGACGGACCAAGGAGCACCTACCAGTGGGCGTTCAGGAGGCCGGGCTGAACCCTAGGCTCTCGTTTCCCTCCTGATGCTCCCAAAACGTCTCCTCCTCCCTCCTTGGACAAGCCTTGACATGAAGACGGGGCGTTCCTGGAGTCCGGGTGACTCCTCTGGGCTGGTCTGGGCCCGCCTTGGTGCGGGGCCGTCTCTGCCCTGGCATGCGCCGCTCCATCGCTGGCGGGTCTCGGTGCGGTTAGAGGGGGGAAGGTGTGCGTCACCCAGCCGGCAGGTCCCAGCGGGGCTGGGATCAGCGTTTAAGGGCTGTGAGCTCGGTCCCCGTC